TTTTACAGAAAAAATTTTACAATTACTCATATGGCTCAAATTGAATAAAAATCATCGGTATACTGGCGATAGTTTGTTACTTTAAACGATCGAATATGAATGTCATTGAAACGAAACTCATTTGTTCATTTCTAAGACTTTTTCAATTGATATTTTAAGATATTATTCTACTTCAGAAGCCTAAAAGATGATCAAATTTTGATTTGAAATTCATTACTTTTCATTGAATTAAAGCATAATAAAATTAACAACAACGCTTTACATTTAATGTGAAAATTGTTCTTTATTATTTTGCGTAAAATCACTGTACTTGTCAAGTATACGAAAATCTCTTTTACTTCTCAAATTATTTTTCTTCTTAATTCTCTCTCATTTATTCAATCAAAATTTTTCGAAATGAAATATCAATCATGTTGTTCTACACATAAATGCCAAGTGTTCTTAATTCTTTGTTTTTCAGACAATTACAAAATTCAGTCTATTCTGAAAGGTCTTGACACAACTTTCACAATTCTTCCTGCGAAACTATGTTGCAAAAAAAAGTTTCCATTAGACAAGTTGGTACTAAAATCTAGATATCTGAGACACTGTTGCTCTGCTTTTTTCGAAGATTCAAAACAAATTGAAACTTGATATCTTCAAAAATGAATAACTATGTCTAAACGAATAAAACAAAACAAACCTATTAAAATCGATTATTTTTTATAGGCATTTTTCTTTTCAGAATATAACAACTGTACAATAATTATTCTCTTCATCTTTTTTTTTTTTTTTTTTATTTCATATGAAATTTCAAATGAATATATCTAATCGATTAAAAATATTCAAAATTACCAATGCAAATAATTCGATTAACTAATGATGTATGACCAGTACAAACAAGCATACATTGTCCATTCATCATATCCCATTTTCTTATTGTTTGATCTGCACTTGCACTAATTAAATAATGTGTATACATAATAATATGTGTTATATAATCCGTATGACCAGAAAGTATACTAAGACATTCGATAGGTGTTGTTTTCGTACTCCATAAACGTATAGTATGATCATCAGAACCTGTAGCAAGTACTGTACTATCATTACTTAATGCCATACAATTAATTCCACTTTCATGATCATCTAATGTTTGTATTAACCAATCTTGATCACGTCCTCCTGTTCGACGTTTTGATCCAGCACTACCCATAGCAGAGAGATATTGAATCTAACTCTACAAGAAAAGAAAGAGAAAATATTTTTGTAATTTTTTAATATAAGTTATAATTCAAAACATTAAAAAATTAAAAAACAAACAATTTGTTGAATGTCATCACAAGAAAAAAAGAAAGAAAGATCATAACCACTTACATTATACTTTTTTTTCTTCTTTTTCTCGATTCGGAACTATTTTTTAGTGCCATTTCTACGATCATGAATTAAGCACAAAAGTCTCCAGAGATAACAAAGAGCACGAGTAATATATATTACACGAACTGCCTTTTTTTCTTCTCTTGTTATGTTGATCATTGAAATCTCATTTTCTTTTTCTTTTTTTATTCAATCTAATAATATATATATATATATATGTATACAAAAAATTAATTTTACAATATTGAAAATTAGTTTTTTTTTTCGAAAGACACATGTTATTTCATGGACAAAGAAAATCCTTGAATTAGTCTTTTGATGGCTTTACAATTGTTTCGAATAACAATGGATGTTTGTGCTTTAAATCTACATGTATTTACGCACAAATGACAAAAACATTATAGATAAATCTTTCTTCCCCCTCGTTCTCTTCTTTTCTTCTTTCTCTTGATTTGGCTTTGGTGCTAATCCTACTCACACATACAAATCACAAGTTCACATATTTTTTTTTCTTGTCAAATAAACGAAGATTTAAAGTAAGTAATATGTCAAATTGATTTTCTATTTCTTTTCGATGAAACGTTTTTTTTTTTCTTTCTTCTTGGTTCTATCATTGTATTAAGAATAGTAAAAGTCTAATATAATTTACATGAATGATGTAACACCTGCAATAGGTTCCATATGGTGAACTGTTCGTCTGTCATCATCATTTTCGTAAAATATGCATATATTTATTTATTTATAAAGGTTTAATAAAATAATATCTTCTCTTCTTTTCTTCTTTTTTTTTCCCTGTTTTTCAGTCTTTTCTTTTCTTTCATCATTCTCATCAATTTTCCTTCTCGTTCATAACAAAAAACCTCTATCATTTTGTTAGTATATTTAGAATAAACTACATAATAATTATTATGATTTATGATTGAAACAAATATGTCAATGTATATATATATATATATATTTGTGTGTATTCTTTGAGTTTTCGATCATGATTAATTCTACTTGCATTGAGTGACCTGAATAAAGATATTCATCGTTTTTATATATCACGAATAGACACTCCTTCCATCATCCTATCGATCATGAGAGAAAGAAAGAAAGAAAGAAAAAAGAGAAAAAAAAAAAATGTTGTCTTCGTTCATTGAATTTTGATAGTGCATTCAGTTCTAACCTATTCAACAGTCTATGCAAGTGAATATATATATAAGGGTGGTAGGCATTTTGATTCTTACGTTATTATTATTATTATTAGTTTTTTTTTTCTTAATATAAACATAAAAATTCTGATTAATATGCTTGTCATTTGAAAAAAAAGAAACACACTTTCATAAGAATAGCAACGAAAACGACCCACGTTCTCATTCCACTTTTATGTTGAAGATGTCTATGGTATATATATATATATATGTATAAAATGTCAAATTTGTACACTGATGGTGAGTTATGTTATTTACAAACGGTTGATTGTCTTCATCGATTTTTTTTTTCGTTCCCTTTGAATGTTGTGCTTTCTTTGACCTACAATAGTTGCACATATACACACATACACCAAAACATGTCAACGTTATATTATTATGAGAATATTCTACGGTTAGTAATGATTTAAGTTTGTTATAACATTCCATATCGGTCACTCTCACTTAAAGTTAAGTGTTAAGGTGTCTCAATTGCCTTCTTTATATTACGTATATACAGCTGCGGTAAAATATAGTTCATAAATGTCTTAAATAAAATTTCAAAGAGAGAGAAAAAAAGAGAAAAGTAATTTAAAACAATAGTAATAATTAAATGAAGTTCATAAAATAAAATAAT